TTAAGTACTTTTCATTTTCCATGTGGCTCCTCAATTGATATGACTCTGGATAAATTTTACTACAAATTTCAAAATTTAGCTTACAAAATTATTTAATTCCCTTCTAAATAAAAGGGTAAACTTCTTTTTACAATCTGATGTGGCACATCAATCCATACGGACATTTTAGATTATCGGTAAGTATATTGACTAAAGTGTAGGGGTAACTGAAAGAAAACTGGACTGACTCCGAAAAATGGTGGGGAACGGAGTAGGCTAGGGCCTAGGCCTTCCCTATGGATGGAATTGAATAAAATTAAGGGGAGCTACAAAACAATCAATTTTTGGTACTTTCACTTTTTTTCCTATAAAAATTAAAAGAGTGAATCAATAAAAATTGAATTTTTTCAAAACCTGTATAATCTATTTCGGACAGACTATAGATAAAAATTGATTAGATAAGAACAAATACTAAATTAAAGTAATTACAAATATTGTCTCAGGTTCGAGTTCACGTCGGTAAGTACTCTTGGTTGTAGAGAGTAGAATTCTGACACGTGTGCTTAGGGAAAATCTAATCTTTCTTTTTAATTTATTTATTACGCTCTTTGTTAAGATTAAGCTTTCTAGATTAAGCCCCCGCTTGACGTATCAGCTATTTACACGCAACCATTTGTTGAATATTAATTGATAAAATAAAGAAATTGTTATTTCATAGCTAAAAAATAAATGTTAAAAATATATCAGTAATAAAGTAAATATTTCAAGAATACATTTTCTTTCTGCAAACTGGACCAGATCTGCAAGAAACTATGCAGACTCATTTTTACACTTTGTTAATGTAGTTTCACGTCCTGTAGCAATGAAGTAGATTACATGCGTACATTACAATCTCATTAAAAAGGTCATCACGACACCCTAAACAATTATTCAGATACTCTCGAATCTAAAATAAATACTTTGTTGAAATTGAGATAAATAAAACGCTCTGAAATTAGAAAAAATATTAGAGTGGTGGTCTCGCAAATGAAAATCAACAAATATATTCAAACATACAAATAAACTAGAAACTAGGCACTTTATTAAGTCCTACACGAATACTGCTCTGCGAAGCACAAATCAGGTCGGAAGGATGTCGTACGCGACTCGTACGTGATTTAAGCCCTGTTCACGGTTGATTTAAATGCACCGATGGTGTAGTTTAAGAAGATTTAATGCTCAAACTAGTTTTAAACGATAAGGCGAAATAAAAAGCTAACTAACTGTTTTAGTTGGAAGCGTTGCATATATTCCCACGAATCTAAGTAGTCAAAGTACATTTCATTAAATAATGCTCGAAAAAGGCTATATATGTAATATAAGGATTTGTTCCATTACCAAAGCGACTTTTCCTTCTGTTAACGGGTGAAATTATGAAAAATTTTGAATTGTTCTTATAATGGAGATGATGCTTGAGTAAAAAAAAAACTATTTTATCCGTTGGTAGATAAAGGAACTTTCATGAGATCTATACAAGTATGGTGACAGACAGATCGATGGACGTATAATCGAATAGAATACGGACTGACACACAGACGGACAATGGAGTCTAAGTCGTAGAGATCCCATCTTTACCCTTTGGATACAAAACGATTGTGTAAAACATCAAGCCACGTTTGAAATATAATTACGTAACGTTAATATCATTACCTTTTAAAGCATAAAACAATGGCTTTAAACGTTAAAATAAATTGACGGAAGTTTTTATATAAAAAAATCTCGTCAAAACGTTATAACGTTTGGAGAGATATTATCTCGGTATCTTTACAGGGACTACTTGCGTTGATAACTTTACTTAAAAAAAATTTTTTTCGAATTTTTTTGTTGATGATATGGATATAAAATCAGCCCAATAGTGAATCGGTCTTGTGCCCCAAGTGTCCCAAGATTACCAATATACATAAAATTCATTATGAAACAACAATTTTACAACGTTAGAAACAAATGAAATATATTTTTAAAGGAGATATGACATATCAGTTGAGCTAGTAATTTAAATTTTCAACTAGTCATTATTATATTATATTTTTATGATTTTATTATAGCTGTATAGTTGTCATTTCCTGAAATTCCTTGAATTTATACTATAAAACGTAGCATAGCTTTAAGGAACTACAATTACTTGAGGATATGGTATTAGTTTAATCTTGATATCTCCACGCGTTCCTCAAAAGGGCCTCTACAGAAAGACAGACAGTGAAGTGATTTAAAGTTTCCGCATTTTTATATCTATTTGAGGTACGGAATATGTAAAGATACTGACACGATAAATCCTATAAATTTTGATCAAATGTATACACACCAACCACTGTACTCATACGCACACAACACACGTTCGGTACGCAACGGATCGTGTGTAATCCATATGACGTCATCGACATGCATCGTATTCTCTTTGTTCACAACACGTAACGAATTTTCGATATGTTTGTATAAATTTGTATAGCACTCGGTCCACTATCCTCGCCGGCCTCGCCACAGACACACAATATAAATCCGTACACTATGTTGCTTATCGTGCGGCTGACCAGTGCATACGTGCTGAGATAGTCGACGATTACCTTAATGCGTACGGTGGATATAGCCGGTACGGGTAATGGGCAAAGTGCTATACAAAGATATGGAAAATTATTTATCCGCACGCACGCAATGGTCGCACATTGCGAGCGTACGGATACAATGGATGTTCACCTTAAGATTCAATAAGAGGCTAGATTTCAAACAGGAATGTGTAAAGAAAACCGCGGTATTAATTTATTGTCTTCAGTATACGAGGATCTTATATGCCGCTTGGAGGTTGTCAGCTATCTTAATATAATATTTTCTAAAATAAGCTCCCTCGCGTAACTTTATCTCGTGATTATATTACAGTAACCTCATTTCATATTGTTTCCTCTGAAGTCTCGGGACGTCACCGCTAGTTCGTTCACGTACGTAATTAAATCGTATCTTGTTTCTGTTTAATTAAGTCTCGTCTTTTAACGGTAGAAGTCGATATTGTGATTTCCGAGAGAAAGAGTGCAACTACACATGGGGACGTTCATTAATCACGTGATTTTTATTTCAACATTTTTTAATAGGCCTCCCTCTTGGTGATGGGGAGGTTTAAGACTACCCTTCCCCCCTCCACCCAAATCACGTGTATTTATAATACATACAAAAAAATCTTAATTTATGATATCGCTTTTCGGTTTAATAATCGTACGTTTGAGAAAAAAAAAAACACGTGATATGTAACTACACCACCTTCTCCCGTGTGATATTTCGTGATTTTGGACGAACCTCCTCCCCCACTTTCGAGCCTCACGTGATTATTGGACGGCCCCTATACATAAAAAGTCATTGAGTTGAATTGATAACCTCTTTTAAACTTTTTCGTTACGTCTGTATTTAGTTTAAATGACGTAGGAATTAACCATAAGATGGCGTATTCCTACGTGCAGATAAAAGGAATGCTACGGTAATAATTAATCGTCAAATATCAGAACATCGGATTACAATCGACAAATATCAGAACGAACCGTGATCGAACGAGAATACATACAAACTTGTAAAGACTACCGAGATAAAAAAAAAAAAAGTGATCTCATAAAATTGCTTTCCGATTCGTTGGATCTGAAAGACAAACATTTGATTCCTGCCTGTCCCCAATGAGTGGTTAGAGTAGTTGCCCAGATTGCGAAGGGTCATGGTTTCGAGTCCTATCTTAGATTGCCAGGGACAAAGTGGATTTTTTAAACATTTTTCATTTAAAATATTTTTAAGTATAGCATTGTGATTGCAATATTGATAAATATGATAACTTCAATTTTATTCAGAAATTATTGTATTTTGTGGTTTTAATGAAACTATTACACATATTATCGTATAAATCATATAAATTACGTTTAATTAGCTATAATCAACACACCGAATTACATTTTATGATAGCATACAGTCAAGAGAAAATTGTATAATAATGGCAATTACTATGTTTTGTTAATAATCCAGTGAGGGGACAAAATGGCAGTACCAAATAAAAATACAGAAAAAATATTCTTACAATATGACACTAGTTAAAAATTACCATATAAAAATTAGAAATAACAACGTTAACAAAAGAAAATTCGCAGTCCATCACAATTTTGAATTATGCAGAAATAGTAAATCCGAATATTCTATTACAAAAATTTGTTATTGGGTAAGGTGTTACACGGGGCACACTGTTACAATGCACATATCTCCATTCCTGTCATTATTTTTTAAATGTTTCTATACAGTTTTGGCAAGCTCTCAAATGGCCATATTGGATCAGTTTTCATAACCTCAGTATATCCCACATATCGATGTTATTTATTTAAAAAAAAGAATTTAGGTGTGGAACCGTTACATTGAAGTTTTTTTAATATTTTCCTGATTTTTTGGCTTCATATTATGGCTTCATTGTTTATTGTAAATTCAATCCCTATAATCTTATATTTTTTTTTTGGTTAAGCTTGCCTATCTTGGGCATTGTGTCAAAACTGCAGCAATGGGCCCCAATCCAATTTCTAGTTTGTTTCATGCCTGTGTTAGGCACGACAAAAAAATGGTAAGTAATCGTTATAGAAAGACGGATCACGGTCTTCAAATATTTATTTTCAGATCATAAATCAGACTTTTATTTTCAACTATTTTTTTGTTTAAGAACATCACTATTAATTAGATTACAATTAAATCCTTTTTATTGGTTGCAATTTCATTAGTATATCACAATCCTTCAGTAAGGTCGCAGTAAAATGTTTGGAATACTAAACTTACTTGAAGACCCTCACAGGCCTTTTAATGGTCCTAATATAAAAGCGTTAAAGTTCTGGGGTCTGATTTTACCCAAAAATGTTTACATGAAATATTTGAGTTTTATATCTTATTTTTTAGTCACAACATTCATCGTAACTGAGTATGTAGATATTTGGATTGTCAGATCCGACTTAAATCTTCTGTTGAACAATATAAAGATCACCATGCTAGCGACTATGAGCCTGGTCAAAGTGTCTACATTCTACTATTGGCAACAACATTGGTTGGACATCATCAATTACGTCACCAAAATTGACCTGGCTGAAAGGCAGACGAATGACAAAAGAAAGATGGAATTAATCAACAACTTTACTAAATATTGTCGTAAAATCACGTACAGCTATTGGTTTCTAGTTTACACTACTGTGTCTTTTGTTATATGCTACCCTTTAGCTAAATACTTGTTTTCTTCGACATACAGGCAGAATGTTAATAATGGTACGGAACCATATTTTGAAATAGTAAGGTCTTGGGTACCCTTTGATAAATCAACTGCTAAAGGATATTTTGTAGCATCTATTTATCAAGCTTTTTCAGCTATTGTTGGAGGGGGGTGGATTACTACCTGCGATAGCAATGCTATAGTACTTATGGTATTCTTCAGAGCTGACTTAGAGCTATTGCGGATTGATTGTACAAATATATTTGGTACAAAACATGCACAAGTCTCAGATGACATTGCTATCCAAAGATTGAAGGAGTGCAAAAGAAGACACGTGGAGTTAATGAAGTACGTTTCCCGTTTTCATATATGGTTCGATATATCTCAATTAAATCATCTATACTAAGTAAATAATGATTAAACATTGAATTGAAGTAAGAAGCCCTTTTATAGATTATTTGCACTGTGTAACTAATAAAAGGTCGTAAGTCAAAAAAAAATCTTTGCGAATCCCATTCATTGCGTTTACAAAATAAGCAAATCAATACATATTGTAGAAATGAATGTTTCCTGTAGGGTATAAACCATGTTAGCATCAGTAATTATATCTATTAAGATCCAAACGACATCATACTACTAGGCATATTATCTAATTTTATAATGTTTTCAGGTATTATCATTTGTTTGATTACTGTTTATCACCAATAATGTTTTGTTACATGATTGTGTGTTCTATAATGCTGTGTGTTACAGCTTATCAAATAACGGTAAGTTTCATTCAAGTTATCAGTTATTTCATACCATGCAATAGAAAACTTTTGAACTGGACCCTTATCTTTACTTTTCCCCAAATATTAATAGTGTGCCTACCATGCACTAAGTGTACATTAGCACATAGCATCTACATTCCACAAATTTATTTATTTAGTCTTTATTGCATATAACAGCAAGAGACGAGGCCGAAAGGATTCTCTACCAGTATATCAGACAGAATGTAAGAAGCAAAAAGTACTGCGATTTGAGAAAGTAGAAGTACATATAAAAACACATACGTAAAATAATAAACAAATAGATTGATGCATTAATAAATATTTTAATATAACTATATTACAAATATTCGTTTAAATATGTATGTACATATTTATAAAAATACAATAATATATAATATCGGGCTAAGGGAAAACTAAGTACTATTTAAATTGTGTTCATGTGTTAGTCTTTTGAACACACCTTTAGTTTACGTCTCTTACTATCTATTTTACTTTCCTTTCTTACTATTTTATCTTTTTCTTCATTCCTCTCAACTATCCTTTCCCTCTTTCTCTCCCAGAGTTTATTTCCTTCCTTGGCTGCAAATCGACGACAAGTTGAAGATTTTGATATATATCCGAAAACTGCCCTTGTTCAAAAGATAGATTCCCCCCTCGCATTCTTTCAGTGTGCAGGAAATGCAAAATATTGAAAATGAAATGACATTTGGTATGTCTGCATTTAAATAATAATTAAGACTCACTATTGTTTTAGAATGAATCGAACGTTGTACAAAAAATATTATTTATGGAATACCTAATATTCGGTGTCACTCAGCTATTTTTATACTGTTGGCATAGCAATGATGTATTATATGCTGTAAGTGTGCTATTCTATTAATCATAATTGAATTTTGCTAATCATAGTGAATCTATTCTGAAAAAGTTAAGCAGTTGATTTAAAAATCTATAAATTTATGATTCGTTGATCCTATTCAAATGCACAGGACAATCATAATAAAACATAGATTGTATTAAGTGATATTTCCGATGAAAATCTTGTAATAAAATATATATTGAGCGTAACTCGTTCATTTTGAATTAATGTATGTTAGACCAAAAGTCTCATAAATTTCTCCATTCTACATCGAAAGACTTAAATAACGTAGACTCGAGACTTTTGAGACAACTTTTAGAAAACTAGAATAAGTGGGTTCGGCTCATTGTCTACTATATCATTCCGAGATTGATCCTTTTTTTGCTTATTTGACTGGGTTATACAGTGTATAATACAGGGTACCTATTAAACAATACCTGCAGACTATAATTATTCAGTACAGAACAGGTTCCCCTGCGGGTTGGGAGTACATCTCAGAGACATTTGAGACATACTCTCCAAAAGGGTACCCTACCCTATAGGTAAACTTACCAAACTGCCCCCATCTAAGACTAGAGATGCACAACTGGGCATTTTCAGTCCTTACCCATCCAATGGGAGGGACCCACACAGATCGCCTTCGAGGCGTTCTGTGGCCCCTCATCGCGGATGTTTTACCCCGTTCGACCGCGATTCCGCTAGCTAAGAGCGCTATCAGACCCCATCACCGACTCCACGGCTACTTTCACACGGCCCTATGCTTGACCCTATCGGGTCCGGTCGCCATACCCCTAAACGTGATGTATATGGTCATTATAACCAGTCAACTGTTAGCAGCGGTCTCACGCGAGATCCATGGGGCAGAAAGAATACCCGTACCCGTACGGAGGCGGGGAGCACTCGCCATCATGTGTCCGTTCGATAAGGACGCCGCTGCACAAACAGCGCAGCTTGCCTTCCCGCAACAACTTGCTGCCTTGTGCCCATCCAGGCCTCATCTGAAGCAAACTCCAGAGCGATATTCTTTGGTGGGCCACACCCTCCGCCTATACCCATGCACTTGAAACAACGCACGGGTAGAGGCTCAAGGCGTTGAATTCTGGTCTCAGACCACCCGACTAACCTACTTAATTAGCAGCAGCAACTGAGCATAAATGAACCATATTCAACCGCCTGCTTTCTACAACAGTCGGACCCATCATCAATTGTTCCGGGGACAGCCACCCTGTGCAACCACCGCTATCCTTAGTTCCTCAATATCTATTGAGTCGTCTTACTCCGTCATCCTCAGGTCGATACGTTTAATGGGCCTTGATACATCGACAGTCCCGCGAAACAACCCTCTCAGTCTGGAGGCAAGCTGGTCAGCTTGCTCTCCACTTCCAGCTCCAGGCACTCTGAGAATCCTTGCTCCCATCGCCAATCTTCCCATCCTTACTCCTTGGATCCATACCCGGGCAAACCAAGGGTTGTGAAGATGGGGGTCAGCCGGTCCCCACCTCCAGAGGCTGTGTATCGACAGCACTACCAGCCACACATCCTACATCCACATAGCCTACGGCTATTTTAGATTTGGTGACTTTTTATCGTGGTTTTCCACCTAACACACCAACACACCACCACCCTGGCCAGCTGTCGCTCTTGGCCGGTTAATCGGTCACTACCGAATCACATTAATCCCACCGGTACACCATCCCGATAAAAACGGTTGTCATTCCCACTTCAAGTATGAAGAGGGAGAGACAACCGCCCGGGCCCACTGGGAGGTGTTCCGACCAATAACCCTGGAGGTCTACCTGAGTAAAGGTATAAACCTCTAATCAGGCTGCAGTTCCTGAATTTCTGCTAGGAACTACATCAATTCAATTGATACAATTAATCTTATTTACGCTTGCATGTTCTTTGAGATTAAATTTCATATTAATTGATATTTGAATACGAAACAGCGCATCAAATTTTTAGTAAACTGCTTGACAAAAAATAAATAATATTTATTTGACTCATCTTTTTTATTTCACTTGTACTTTCTAGAAGAGTTAGTTGACATAATTGATATTCACTTGTTACCGTTCTACTCATTGTGTTATCACTTATTCAATCAGAAGATGTTAATTACGTATAACTTTTCATTTTATAAGATATAAAAAAAATACTTATTTTAGAGTCTGGATTTGAGTAGTGCTCCTTTTGAAAGTATCTGGTGGGAAAGGGGTGTGGAGCATAGGAAAAATTTACACATCCTAACGTCTCAACTTAGACAGGTTGTGAAATTTTCAGTGGGACCATTCACAACACTTACCGTGGCTACATTCATTCAAGTAAGTATATGTTAAATAATATTAAATGATTTTATAGGGGCTTTTATTCAGCACTTACCTTTTTTAAATAACTCAAATTGTTTATAAGATACCATCGAAATTTTTTGTCCATTTCGATATTTATCCGTCATTATTTTAGAATTTCGCTTTTTTATATAATAAATAATAGAGAAGAAATAAATATTTTATGATAACCAAATGTTAAACATAGTGGATTTAAACGATACTTGTATTTTGTTGTTATTTTCAGATTATTAAAGGAGCTTACAGTTACTACACTTTGCTGTCCAAATCACAAATGAAGTGAATAATTATTATTCAATTCGGCGTTTTAGATGTTCCATATTAAAGTAGTGAAAGCATCCATTTTAATACTTTGATAAGTACGTTAATAATTTTCATGGAATATGTTGTGTTTTTGGAAATGGAAGAAAACAGAAACTAACTGTACTTGTGTTGATCTTTTTTGAGTACCTTGGTGGCATAGTGGATAAGCGTCACGGCCCGTGATCGCTGTTGTTAAGTAAGTTTTACAAGGGTCGGTCACGGGATGGGTGACCAAAAAAAATATATCTCAACCTATTCCATATTTCGGAAGGCATGTTAAGCCGTGTGTTTCTCCAATCCGCATTGGGCCAGCGTGAGGAGTCATGGCACATACTCCTTAACCATCCGTAAGGAAGGCCTGAGCCCCTGCAGTGGTGACGTAAAAGAGTGATGAAGATGACCTACTTTTAATAATGTGGGGGAAATACACTTTATACTTAAAAGCAGGTATCTCATGCCACTGGAATTCCTCGACGGGCAAGGCCAAGGGCTTGGCCTGTCCGATATAACTAAGTACCCTTATTCAAAAGTTCCCTACCAAACCCCACAAGACTTTATGACCTAGGTTTAAATGTTAAATTTTTACAAGTTAGGAAAAGTGAGCTTTAGCTAAATATTTTATGATTAAATGAACTTACCTGTAAGTGAAGTTCTATCATAATTATGCGAGATTAGCATTATACACTTGTAGATATTGAGAGCCCATTGTGAAATAAAGACACGTATGTTAGAAATGAATAAAATATCATTATATCATTGCGTTTTATTTTTAAAGCAAAACTTTATAAATCATTTACTTAATAACAATTAATATAAATATCATATGTTACCCAAATTAATTACGCTACTTGTGAAATCATATCCATTTGAATTGGTTACAATTTCCCTATTATATAACCTAGGGAAGGTTGTAGATTTACCTGGTCATCCAGTTCTTTTCTTATTAGATAACGGTTTATCCCCTGCTTATAAAGACGAGAAGTACTAGCATATCTGATATTATGTGCAGAAAAAAAATATCCCATCTATTCCACAAGATAGTGATGTACATTTTATCCATCTACACATTGCTTGTAGAGTTTGAAACATGATTTTATGGTTTCCTAATAGTCATAAAAAGGGAAGTATTATTATCAAGCAACTTCCTTGTGATATTTAAATAATTTTAAAATAGTTTAGCAGAACATATTTTTGGTCTCTCTTAAAAAAAGGGATGTGCAAGAAATGTTTGGTTTATAGAATCCCGACCTCCCCATAAGACTCCTGCAATCGTCAAATGGACCACCAAATTTCCCTGGTTGTAAATTTGGTGGTCCATTTGACGATTGCAGGAATGAGAAACAATAGGTTCCTTATAACATTTTAATAATAGAGGCTTAGATATTATTGGTTTTTTAAAAGGGGATACCAAGGCTGTGATGGCCATGCTTAAAATACCAAAGTACCCTTAGCCTAATCATCAATAATTTTCCTCCATGTTTTGTGGATAATGTGGGAAACCGAAAAAGGTGGGAAACAATAGAAAAACCAAGACGACCAGTTAACTAAGCATAAATAGTGTATGCATCAGGGTCTTTATGCCAATATATGTATTTGGCATATTTTTTGTTAACACGACTGGCAAATACATCAATATCAGGGTTCCCAAGAAGCCTTATTATTTGTTGGAAAACAGAGTGAGATAACTCTCATTCAATGTCTGGTTGAATCCTTCTGGTTTCAGCATTAGCAATAATATTTTCTACGGATGGAATATAAAGAGCAAAAATAAATATATTACGACTTTTACACCAATGCTATTTTTTACTAATTTATGTAAATGAGGGAATTGTATTCATCCCATGCGATTAATATATGACAAGGCTGTTGTGCTATCGATGCGTAAAATAATTTGACAATCTTTAAAGCTTGCCTAAATTTTTTAGTTCGATAAATGCTGCCAATCATTCTAAGTAATTAATGTGTTGATTTGATTCATCCTCACTCCATTTACCTCTAGCTGTATTTCCAACACAGGGCACCTGTGGGCGAGGCACCAGAAAAGATTTCTTGGTCATATTTATCAAACTTAATTTTACTAACGGAACTATCAATCGAATTTATCCAACAGTTAAAATCAAATTGTAATGTAGCAGGTCTTGTCATAAAATTATTTTATCATCATTCATCAAATTTAAAAATTTACATCTTATTTTTTTTGTGTACATATTTGATGGCTAGGCAAATTGATGCTAACAGACTTACTAAACGAACAAAGTTCCTTATCTTACATCACACTAGTTTTTTAAACTTTATTAATTCAAATTTTAATCTTAATTTGTTTTTCTAAAGGCAGAGAAATTTCTTTCTTTCAAAAATTTACAAGATTTACTTGGAATTTTGTTACTGTTAGACTCATTAATATTAAAAACGACAGCACATAGTAATATTTTTGTATTAAATTTGTGCACATTCATTGTAATTAGGAGATATTAAACATAGGTCATTTAAATATGTACTCGATTAAAATCCAACGCAACTTATTATCTTGACTGTATTGAGACTGAATGATAAAACACTAAGTCCATATAAAAATAATTTCATTCAAATCTAAGATACTCTTTGGAGTCATCATTTAACTTAATTAAAGAATAGGCATCTTTAAGATCTTCTGTTGACATAAAACAATTTTTTGCTAAAAGTTTTATGATAGTACGAAAATCTTCTATATTGAAATGCTTTATATTTATGAATTTGTGATTTAATATTCGGCTTTGAAATTAAAAATATACTAGATATAAATTGATACTCAGAAGGGCTATATCAAGAAATAACACCTGCGGACGTGAATAAAAATTGTCAAATACAGATTTAAAATAGCTGGGACATTTTGGTATCAAATATTGATTAGGTGTTTGACAGAAAGGAATTTTATAATCCTTCACACATTCTAGAACAGTTTTATCTGATATCAATAGTAACCACTGGTTAATAGCAAGATAGCCTACCGGTGTCATTTACCAATTCGTCTACTGACGATGGCGAGTGGTACTCCGGCGTCCGTGCTATGTTCTCTATAAGCGCATGGGAGGCTGTCTTAACAAAAGGTGCTCTTTCATTTTCGGTGACCCCGTCGGTCTGCAAGATGAGACTGACTGCTTCCAGTTTAAATTATTGCTAGAAAGTGTAAATTTCGACCTAGTATTGGTCGCGAAGCTTCTAGATGATACTATATTTTGAAACTCCGCTCTATATTTTTTAAAAGCCTTGGCCGTTTTCAAAATCTCTGCCAGCTCATAACCAAAAATCAAACTATCTATTATTATCAGTTGCATTTGGTCTTTAATTCTTTTTTTAAGACGGCCATAGTAAAATTGTGTCTGTTTACAGAAGCATTATATTGAAAACCACATAATTTACAACATGCGTCCATTAGTAATTTCAGTAATACTGGGTCTTTAGTGTCATTTAGCAAAAGTAGACTGATAGCTTCTCCAGACATGCAATAGCATTGCCTATTTGCTTAGTTCATCCGGTATATTATTATTAATTAAAAATCTTCACTGACATCACATATGAGTTTCTCTTAAAAAAGTCGGTTCATATAAATGACAAATGTAATTTATTAGGAAATCTTATGTTAAAATTACAAATATCCAATAAAAACAATAACAAACAAACACACCAGTTTTAAAATCCTAATAGCGTCATCTAGCAGGAACAAGTAATTTAAGCATTTTATTATTTCGCCAGATTAACAATTCCCCATTAAATTATAGGAAATACCGCAAAATTAAAAACGAAAGCTACTTTGTGTGATAAAAATCGGAAAAAAGACTACAAACATAACAAAAATTAAAATCCCGTTTTAAAAGTACATAAGCGTCATCCAGTGCTCAATAGAAGCATCCAAATCTAACATTTTCGTGTACTTAACTAATATGAAATATGCATTTAATATTAGCGATAAAGATTATACCGATCAAAATTATTCAAAAAATTATTTAATCTGGCGTAAAGAGCTTAAAACTTTAATAATGGATTTAAAAAAGGTTTTCATGGAATATACTTAAAATGACAATTTGAATTGTAAAAAACGGGTACTATGGTAACGATTTGATGCTCTATATGAACTTCCACTCCCATTTTCATCGATGTATGTGCTTTTATTCTGAATAAAATTTATTTTCTGAAGAGACATATGCTGCGAACTTTTTTTTGGAGTTTTAAAGAGTATCAAATTCGTAATACATGATTTTTGCGTAACTTTCATCGTTTACATAGCGCATGCATGGAAAGTCTTAAAAAGTAAAATATCCCCCATTTTTGTAATATTTTTCATTGCTGCTCCATTCCTGTAAGTCATAGCGTGATGTTATATAGCCAAAAACAATAATTCAATTCATTCCAGTAGTTCCTATGATTTTAGGAGTTAATCAATGAATCAAACACTCTTCGGCTTTATTATTAGAACAGTTTATTGATATTAGTAGTATAATAGGCCATTATACCACAAAAATAACTGTACAATTTTAATGTTACCGTTTTATCGTCTACCAAAAGTTTGGCCACTTTTTGATTCTTGCAAGATGATATTTATTGGTTTAAGTTTTATTCAACTCAGTACGCATCTTGCTGTAGCAGTGTGTTGGTGGTATTACAAATCGTAGAAAAGATGATTTGGTATCATTACAGTTCGCAAAAAGTTGACGACTATTATTAGTCAACTGCCCGTTGAATCAACGCACTAAAGACTTCAGCAAATGTTGAATTTAAAAAAAAACAGCCTTCTTATAGCTTTTACTGTAATCTGTTGTTAAACAATTATACACTTCTTTATTTCAGACCCAGTAGACACTTATCCAAAATGAACTCGATAAAACAATCACCCTGTTAAAGTAAGGATTGCATTTTAATATGAATATTAACCATCATCAAGTTTCAGCCATTAAAATTATGCAATTTGAAGTGATGAAGTAATTACACTAGAATATATTGTGA